GGAGAGCTTGTCCTGGGGCAGGGTTGGCCCAACGAGTGGTGAGCTTGACTTTGGGGTCCATGATTCAGTGCTTTGAATGGAATAGGGTAAGTGAGGAGCAAGTTGACATGACTGAAGGACGAGGAGCGACAATGCGCAAAGCCCAGCCTCTAGAGGCTATGTGCAAAGCTCGGCCCATTGTCAACAAGGTTCTGTACGGGGTTGAATAGAATAGGTAGTTGTTTTATTTTATTTTATGTTAAGAGTGTGGTTTTTTTTTTTTTTTTTTAATTAGTATATATGATGATCAATTAGGGCGTAGTCATTCCCTTTTACAAACCCCTTCCCAGTGATTTCATTACTCAAATTTAAGATTTCAAAATTGAAATATTAAGTTTTTATCAATTTTTTATTACTTTGAAGTTGTACCATACAGTTTTTAATCTTTGCAAGTATGTACGACTTGCAACAAGGTAAGGTAATTAACAAATTTGAGAAGTGTAATTGTGGTTTTAGGAAGATGAATTGGAGAAAATTTTCCAGGGAGAGGGTGAGTCTGAAGCAGAGGAAAACAAATTGTAATCTAAGCTTGAATAAATTGAAGTTGTTTGCTTGAGGTATTTTAACTTCAGTATGACACCAGAAATTGCAAAACCGCCAAAACAGGTTTGGGTTATGTTTATGGCCCACTCCGGGTTGGGTTGTGTTTGGTATCATGGGCTTGTTTTATTATATAGGCTTTGATCTCTGTGGGCCAATTTTGTATGAAGATAGTTGGGCCTAACCTATAACATGCATGGATTTAGTTTTATATTTTGGCACTACAGATATGGAGGCCGAACCTTAATTGCACCTATACACTTTTTCTTTTTGCAGTCAACACCTTAAATTAATTTTTATTTTGGTATACATTCTTTATAATTTAAACTTTATAAAAAAACTCCAACCTACCAACAAAATGATGGTGCAAATAGGAGATTTGACCACAAAATCAACGTGAAAATAAAGGGTTTGACATTAATTTTTAGGTTTTTCATGAGTTTTAAATAGTGAAGGATGTTGGTCAGAATAAAAATTAATTTAAGATATTAACTGTAAAAGAAAAATGTGTAGCATGTAAATAGGAGTTTTGTCCACATATGGAGAACTAAATTTTGCTAGCAAATAGGGATCCAATCTATGTAATATCAACAAATAAGGGGAAATTTAATAGAACTATGCTCATGTTGTGAGTTTCCCCAAAAGTCAAAGACTTTGAATTTTTAACAATGAAAATCTCACTTTATCAAAAATAAATAAATAAATAAATATCTCATAATATCCATATAGCATCAAATGAATGAATGTTATATAATATTGTGCATCTCATCTAATTTAAAACTTAAAAGATTCAATAAAAATTATGTTATGTCATGTTATAAGATTTTATTGTTAAAAAACATTATTAATAAATCATTTTTCAAAATAAATTTTCAAGCACACGCAAGAGATGACAACTTAGTTAATAAAAAAAATTTGTTATTGATCAAAAATAT